ACTTTGCTGGACTGTCAGGTGGATTTAGAAAAAAAAAAAAAAAGAAATCCAATTTGCATGCCAATCTGAGCTCAGATGCAGATTATTTAACAGGTACTCACAGTTCTTAAACAGCTTTATGGAAGATGATTTATTCAAAATTACAGAAATGACTATATAATTATAATAATATGCTGCACAATTATCATTCAATCCTGTTTTTAAATATATAAATGTATGGTTAAAAATAATAGGTGTCAGATGTTTTAATGGTTTTGGATTCTTGTGTTGAATAAAATCAGACTGTCGATTTAGTGGAAAGTCTGTGAGGTGTTATTTGCTAAATTTACTAAATTTTAAAAACTTTTCTCAGATTGTGCTGATCACTAGCTGATCACCTGCTCTAGCTACGAAAGTCTTCCCTGCAGCGCCAACAAACCCAGAACCTCTGACTTGTCTTATGCTTTGTTTTTATTTAATCCCAAATCTGCACTTTAATTTCTACTTTTCCTCAATGAATTTGTTTCTGTAAAACCAGTGATTCAAAGTGCAAGACCTACAGCCCTGAAAAAAGGTTTTTACAGTCTTGGACTTATTTATTTATATTCCCTGTTTTGTCCGTTTCTTGTGTTGGAATGTTTCCTCGTTTTTATAGCATGAACATCGTCATCTCTTTAGCGTCCAGTGTAAATGAAATCTGAGAAAACAAAGGGACAAAAAAGGAAAAAAAATTACTATGATTTATGTGTGCTGCAGACAAATACACAGTTTCTACTGAAATATATAAATGCAGTTTCAGTTCAACTGTCAAACTCAGAAATGGGATGGTTCACGTCCACAGGTGGACTGTTTCATTTCTGGGCTGCGATGACAAATGTTAGAAACAGTCTCACCTCTGCAGTACTCAGGGTTGAAGTTTTCGTAGATGGGGTAGAGAGGGTTCTCCTGTTCGCTGCGATGCTTTCTGGCTCTCAGGACATCCCGAATACACTGATACAGGAAGGCATACTGGCACTGCAATGCAACAAGACCGTTATAATGTTGTAATAAACACCTTCCGGTGCTTTTAGAGCATTCACTGCAGAATTCATTCATGTCCCATGGGAAACACAGATGTTAATTTCACTGACCAATAATTTGTCAGTTTTCATCAATAACCTTCAAAAACACGACGATAACAAAATAAAAACTAATGAAAAAGGACAAAATACTATGAAATACATATTGATCCTTTCGTCAGCAAATAAAATTGAATTGACTAAAACACATCATTAAGACTAAATCTAAAACTAAATCAGCTTTGTTTTTTCTTTATTTTTCCTTTCCTTTCCCTCAGGTCATCTGGATCCGGTTTTTTATCAGTTCCCAGAGTCAGAACCATACACGGAGAAGCTGCATTCAGCTTTTATGCTCCATATATCTGGAACAAACTCCCAGAAAGCCTCAGATCAGCTGAAACACTTAGTTTATTTAAATCCAGGTTGAAGACCCACCTAATCTCAGCTGCATTTGAATAAAACACCAAATCCACACTTTTAAGCTTAAATTTCAAAACTTAAATTTTAACTGCTGATTTTATCTACTGTTCTGATTTTATCTACCGTTTTGTTTTTTTGGGTGGTTTTTTTTTTAAATCAATTTTAAATCATGCTTTTTATTTGTATTTGTTTTTAATGTCTCTGTAAAGCACTTTGAATCACCTTGTTGTTGAATTGTGCTATATAAATAAACTTGCCTTGCCTTTATTTGTTTGATCCAGGTTTGATCAAGATTGACAATTTAGTATTATAACGACAGTAATTGGTAGAATTTTCAGACTACCATATTTGATAGCTTCCATTATTAATATTTTCTCACGTTTTAATGATGTAGCTCCAGTTTAGTCTAAAATTCTCATTGTAATATTAATGGTTCAACTTGTTTATTATGTACTATAGTATTTTTTTTGATTCACTACAAACTGGTTTGGGTGTGGTAACGTCATCATAAACTGTTTTTTCAAAACCAATTTGCATTCAATATTTACTAAAAAGGAGGGTAACATCCTACTTTTAAATCTTTATTGGTAGTTAAATTCTAGTTTAGGTCAATATTTCCTGATGTTTCTTGTCTAATAGTTTCAGTTTTAATGATGTATTACTATAAACCATGCAGATTTATCAATAGCCAATAAAATCTGGTTTCTTTTCTTCCAATTATTTGTTTTTTTGCGACTGGTTTATTTCAAAGTTTATTGTTGTTTGCCTTTGCTTCCATGTGGGACTATCCTTAATCATATTCTAATAAGTAAAATTGAAATAATGACTAAAATATCTGCTAAACACAATGAGGTGAACTGAAGTGCTACAATCACTGGTCTAAGTGGGAGAAATGTCTGGTGTAGAAGTTGAAATCAAATAGTCAAACGAATGTCCTAGAATTCAAAGCTAAATACTTAAATATTTGAATGTAGCTCTTACCTCAGTCTGGACCATGTGCTGGCGGTGCAGGCGGAGGTCGAACACGCAGCCGTAAAGGTCGATGGTTCCTTTGGAGTCCAGCTGCTGCAGAACCCGATCCAAAGCAATGAAGGTCCCTGTGCGCCCGACTCCAGCACTAACAAGCAAAAACATCCAGTTATCAAAGATCTTAAACAGAGAATCAAAGAAGGTTCAAGGACTCAATAGTTCACTTTTTTTTTTGGTTCTAATGACGGGATTCTGTTAACTCACAGCCAATCAGATTTCTCCCTGAGGACAGCCTCAAGCATCTACCTGCAGTGAATGACGGTGGCTCCGGTGCTGGGCGATCGGTCCACATAGTCCCGGGCTGTCCTGACAAACTGGATCAGGGACTGGGTGCTCTCAGGGACGCCGTGATCAGGCCACACCGTGTAGTGGAAGTGACGCAGTACCCGAGGATAACTGCAGCTGCTCTCCTGTCCAGGTCGATAATGGATTTATTGGGATTGTTATCACCCATAGCAACATTCAAGGTCTGGATTTTGAGGCTTTAGACATAATGTAACATAACGACATAACGTTTGTTTCAACATAACATAGTGGAAATCAACTTTTTCATGGCCACACCAAAAAAATGCAGAAATAATCAGAATAATCCTTCTGTAGCCTCTCGATTCACCCTCTCCATGAAACAAGCTGTTTTAGCTCCTCCCCTTTTAACAGATATTTGAACAGCAGGTGGGTGGACTGTCTGTCACAGAGATAAACATAGTGTATAAGGATATCCCCTTAAAACCTCAAATCTCTGCACCTTTAGCTTTACAGACATTGTTTGGCCATGTTTATCACATGAGCTTTATTTGGAGAAGTTATGAAAATGAAAGCTTCACAATAAATATATGCCTTCTTCATTCTTTAGATATTACTGCTTTTCTACATTTTTACGCTGGAATAAAAAATGAGAGTAAAAAGAGGCATACCGAGGTGATCTTGAACTCTCGGATGGTCCACTCAGGCAGGACAGACTCTGACAGCATCTGAATGACCAGATCACCGTAGTACAGAGGCTCTCTGTCTGCAGGCCAGTACTGGTCACACTTCACCTGGAAACACAGCATTCATATAGTTTAATTACTTCTCAGGGTTGAGTTTATCTTCCTTTGCTAACCTGTGAGAAGAATCTGAAGCTCTTTTCAACTTGCAATCAAAGCTCATAATTTCAGTTTCATAATTGTTCCACTCAAGTGGACATTTTGATCAAGCGGACGCCTCACCCGTCCTTTCTCCACACACTGGGTCACCATGATGATGTTGTAGACGCCGTGCTCCCACACCATCCGCCAGAAATCATCTTTCGTGCCCGGGAGCGGCCCCTGGGTGGCAATGTACTCCCTGCGGTAGTTATTACCCTGCACATGTAGGCAAGAGAGGCGGTATTAGTGTCATTGTCAGTATGTGCGCTCAGTTTGTGCTTTTTAGCATGTGCTCATACAGGTATGTAGCTGGCGTTGATGTAATCGGAGCAGGGGTCGTCCTCCAGGTACGACAGCTTCACTCGGGTAGAATCATCTAGAAAAATGAAGAAATAAGTCACCAGCGGCTTTCATTATCTTTAACGTGTAGTTTAAATTAACTCTAATGCAATGAGTACTGAACTGGTTTAATAAATGTTGACTGAATTCCTCCCACTACATCCAGCATCCACAGAGCAACGTAACCATAAGGTGTTTTAGCTCCATTTTTGGTCTCCTGTTCTAAATAAATAATATCTGGGTTTTTAGCTTCTTAAGGTTTCTCTTTCTTCAAAAGCTGTAACTGTCTGCTGTTTGCTACTTAGCTGGGCACTTTTAGAGGTTATTTATTAAGTAGTCATTTACCTAAAATCAGTTTGTACACCCAGAACTAAAAGTATGAGGGCTATAAAAGCACCACAGGACAACAGCTAGACTCTGACTCTGAAGTATTGCTCCAGTTTTCTTGTTTTCTGTGTTTCATCATTGTAGAAGTTTCACTAAAATGTCTTTTTTCACATTTTTTTTTATCAGTTAACCTTTATTAAACTGTCAGTATATAGAAAAAAGGCTCATCAGTTTGGTAGTGGTAGTGTGGTAGTCTCGAGAGGAAAAATCAGGGATAAATTAATATTTATTAATATTTATTTAAAATTGTTTACAATTGTTTGGATAACATTAAAAAATTTGGATTAAAAACAGGTTTAACTGATGCTCTCAGTCATTCAGTTATTCTTGTTTTTTTTCTTGCCATTTTAATAAAATTTATATCATCTTATTGCAGCTTTGCAATAATACTAAACATCAGATTTGCACATTTAACCTTAAATCAGCCAAAAACTAACAATTATGAAAATTGCCCAATTAAATTTCTATCAGTCTACTTAGTGAAGAAGCAACCATCATTTTGAGCTACTGAGGGCACATTTGTAAAAGCAATAAGCACAGATTCCTTATAGTTTAATCAATATGGTCACATTAATGTTTCCCCGTAGGGTAAAGGATGCAGTTTATGTCTGATGGTGAAATTCTAACACATCCACTCCAGAATAAGTAATGAAAACAGCGTCTCTCACAGCTTTCTTGAGGTTCTTATTATTGAATGTGAAAGATGTGTGAATGTGAAACAGACTCAGTAATGACTCATTTCACTGAGAGAGAGAGAGAGAGAGTGAGAGAGAGGGAGAGAGAGAGAGAGAGTGTGTGGTGTAAATGTGTTTACTTCTCTGACAGTTAATTATAGAGGTGATGTTGTAAATGTGGCACCTCGAGTCATAAATCTGATTTTTTTTGCAGTTATAAATGACGGATGCTTAATTACTTTATTTTAAACTGAGGATACTTCAGAAGGAAAAACTTTGAAAATGACAAATTGTGGATGTGGATATTTCCTTTATAATTGCGTAAAACAGATGTACCAAACAATCTTCATGTGATTAGAAATCTGTCTGTATATCACTCCCATAGCAAAAAATCAATGAACTAACATTTCAAACACTTAAAAATAATTAGGCATCATCCCCAATGACGCAGACAGAAAACATTTTCACAGATGTATCATAATTTTAAACATTACATTTAACAGATGATTCATTAATTGAGTAATAACAATTAAAACAGCAACTCTTTTGTGCTATTTCAAGCAAATGTTATTGTTACCTGAGTAAAGATTGCGTCATTCAAGGAAATTCAGATTCAGTGTCATTATTTGAAACAGCTCCTTTCTTTTTCTTTCTTTCTTTTTTTTTTTAAATCAATCCATCCTTAATATAATTTAGCCGTTTTTCAGCCCATCATCACACTACCTTTGAATGAGCAAAAATTCAGTTATGCAAATTCATTAAACTGGACTCAGATACGAGGGCTGAAACTTTAAGATCAATTAAATTTGGCCAGTTGTTGGTATCAGCTGATCAACTGGTTGGAGGACACACCATTTTATAGTTTTTAATCTGCTGGTTGGAAAAAAGATGCTATGCGAAACTATTTTGTGACGTGTGGATAATAAATAATATAGAGGACAATCTGCTTGGGTGGCTAAGAAATGGAAACGAAAAGCTAATTAAATGAGTAAATATTCCACATAGATGCTGTATTTTCAGTAGTATTGTGTAATTATGAATGCTTTTATCACCTCAAGCCTCAGAGTTCATCCTTGTCGCCAAGGGAACAGGTGCTGCCTCATTAAAGCTCTTGACGATGTGATAATTGCCATGATTTCCACGTTGATTTATTTTTCTTTCTCACTGAGGGACTTGAAGGGTTGTCAGCTAACTGTTATGTGGAGTGACTGTTTTTTTTTTCTTTTTAACTTTTTGAGAAGCAAAAAATCTTTAAAGCTAAAAACTGCACTAACATGGCAGGATGTTGTTGTAGCGGTTCTTTCCTCGGTTTTCCGGCACTCGGGCGACATCCATCGTCTGGTTACGGCCGACATCCTTCAGATCCTGAACAGAGATGAGAATAATTACATTTGTACAGTTATAAACATCAGGACTTTGTGACTAACAAGACCAGCCAAAAATCTGCTTTTGAAGAAAACCAGTGCCATTCCTCATCAGAGTCATGGTACATTACTTGACCTTTAAGTTTCAGAGAAGCAATGATTGAAAAGCAAAATGGTTCTGAAAAGGCGGGCAAGTCGAACCAACAGCCAACTGGCATAAGCATGAGCCCAGAACAAGCAGTTTGATTTGCTGTGAAGTTGGTACACGATTGGAAGACTTTCAAGGTTTTTGAGTGTAAGATGTTTTGGGCCTGACCAGAACTGTCCAAAACCCAGAGTTATCCCAACAGTGTGATCTGATGTTATTCAACTGAACTGTGAAGCACTTTGATGCAGTTTAAAAGACCTATTTTGTTTTATTTAATCAGTGACTGTATATTGCAGAAGTACTGTTATTGCTTATTGGTCAATGGGACTGTGTGGGTATTAATTTTTCCTTATTTTGTAGTTTTAAAGGTGCTCAATGATGTCAAGAGAGTGAGCCGTGTTTGGTGAGGAAATAAATGGCTGCACCCGTTAGAGACTCTTCTGTCATTCTTGATGCCAGGGGCTGCTACAACAGTGATTTAATATTATTAATATGCAAAACCTCTGGTAAAAGAAACAGTGTGTCTTTCTGTCTTCCTGAGATTTAACACTCCAAATGAAAACTGAAGACATGCCCAACAAACAAACAATATGATTGATCAGGTTCTTGAACACACTTTTTGTAATAATTTTCATACACTTACCTCAAATTCTTCAGAAAGCAAGTAGTTGGAGTCGGCCTGCAGCTTGGTCAGATGCGACTCGAAATGGCCCGTTTTGATAGGACTGAACAGAGAAAGATGGACAAATACTCAGCAAAAGGTATATACTGGAGGTAGAGTGGTGATTTTTAGCCATTTCAACAAATTAATTACATACAAAGTTTCAGAAATAAAGCTTAAACTCTCACCTGGTGATCCGACGGTTACTGCAACAGAAGATTAAAAAATTGAATTAATCCATGTGACAGTACGATAAGGTGGTGAAACATAGGTTGGTTTATAAAGGTGGATAATCAACTAGACAGTAACACAAACATAATACAGGAGTGAAAATGATACATTATGTATAGTTTTATCGCCTCTTGTAACATTATGCAGTAAGAAGAATACAATATGGTTCTGTTATAGCAATATTTCCAGTCTAGTAGACAGTCAAAACATCTCTATTATTTAATTCTTTATGTATTACTTAATTGTGTTGGTAAGGTCTTTATCAAAGAAAAAGCTGTATGTAACAGTCCAAAAATTTATGCTCTCCTAGAGCTTTCTTTTTCTAAAACAGTCCAGCGAGCTGGATTGGAGTCCTTGTTGTGCTAATTCTGGCCCCCGGGCCTTACATTTGACACCCTTGTTCTAAAATGTTATTGACTGTGATTTTATGCAAAAGTGGGGTTTAATTTAATCATCTATAATTTAGCTGGTTCAATCAACACTTAAAACATCTCATATACTCAGTCAAAGAACCTTACATTTGTGACCTTAAAGTCATTTTAATTCATGGCCCACAAGATGAGGTGGGCTGGCCTATCCTGTGACAGAATGATGGACAGGCTGAGATGTCTGACAGACGTGTAATATGAGAAATACCACAACAACAGCCTATTTTTACACATTCGGTGGGTTTAAAACACTCGCGTCTAATCACATTACTGTAATTTTCACGCCTTGCAAAGCTGTCCCGTAAGCCGAATTGGACCCTCTGGTCGGTTCTGGCCTAAATAATGCAGGAATTTTTCATCTGCGATTTGTTTCCAAGTGAATTTGAGATCTGATAATCCCTGCTACTAGCAAACGCAGAGGAGCATCGTCTTTATGTCCAGTTAAAAAACTGGACGCTGTAACTGTAAGCTGGGGTCATTTATGAAGCACAGAGAAGCTTTGTTTCTGCGCTCTGTTACATTTGTGGTTGATGAGCTGTGGCCAATATACAAACGTATGCAGACACACACACACACACACTAATTAACAGATGCTACGGCCTGTGGTGGGTGAATGATGAGGTAATCTGAGAGAGGGAGCGAGCACTTTATTGGAAACTAATTCTTCTTCACACACTCACATATTGGACGTGGGAGGCGTTGGAAACTAATCTCTCCCTCTCTCACGTACTGAAGAAGAATAATTATAGATGTTGCGTGCGCACAAATTTACCTCCGGACGCCCATATACATCCCTGAAGTTGGAACTTCTTTCCACATGCTCATCCTCACCACCGGGTTCTCCTGCACAGCCCTACACAGAAAATATCAGCACTGATTAGGAACATTAAGATCAAAGAGTTAAACCAATGAAAACATTCGAGCCCTGCCCTCTACGCTAATAAACGTGTTCACCAAATCACAACTAATTAACTCTGTAAATTAGCTTAACAGCTAAATGACTGTGAGAAAACTGATGTGACATTTTGGAGCTAATTTTCTGTTCAGGGCTCTGTTGTGGCGCCATAAATGTTACATAAAGTCATGAAGGCAGTCGGAAATTTCACACTGGTGCCACAGAGACAACACCCCATCCAGATTTAGTGGCATTGATGGTGTAGTATTAAAAAAAGGAATGTGTGTTATCTTGGATATGCTTTAAAAAGCTGTTAAAGTGTCCATCGTTTTGACTTATACAAGAGAAAATCTGCAAACAGAAGAACAGATTCAACTTAAAGGTAACAAACTCTAAGCTGTAGTTAAAAAAATGTTTACTATTCTGTTCTAGGTCTGAAATAGAAAAACTTTTAAACTTAGCCAAATTATATTCTCCTTTTTCTTTGCACAATCTTAAACTGTCAGATGGTCCAAACAAACCATCTGACAGTTGTATTTGAACACTTACAGGTTCAAATACAACTGTATTTGAACCTGTAAGTGTTCAAGTATTTGAACACTTACAGGTTCAAATAATGAAGTAATGAAATAATGAAGTAAGTGTTTGAAAACGGTAGAAGTCAGCAATCCAGTGTTTGGATCTCGGCCTAATCCGGCTTCATCGACAACTTTTCTTATATTTCACTTTGTTTTTCACTTGATTACAAACTGTGGCTTTCCCGCTTTGTTCTGATTGGTTTAACATTTGTTTTGAAGATTATGTAATTTGTTGTTATATTAATATTTCCCCTCTGTGTCTATCTCTCCTCCACTCCGTGTGTGAGGAGGTGCACTCACAGTGAAACTGTGAGCAGGGAAAGGATGTGCTAACATGACCAACTGGAGTTCAGCACCTTCATAGGTCTCTAAGAGAAAAAAAACCTAGATGATTTAATTTGAAAATCATTCAAATACACAGCTGTGTTTTAAACTCCCAAACACTAACTCATGCAAAGCTCCCGTAGTGGAGTTTCAGATTAAAGAGCAGGAAATGAGCAGCCCATGTTTTGGCTGATCTAATACTTCCAAGCGTCCTTGAGGTAACTACAAGCAGAACGCCCAGTGTACTCACACTTTGCGTAGCCTCTGTCTGTAGGCCAGCAGAGAGACGACTGCCACCATCATACCAATGAGGAACATGCCAGCACTCAGACCCTCCACCACGCCACCTAGAGGCTCTGACAAAGAACAACACATATCGGGAGATAGCTGAGGTTAGACAGACCAGCTGTGATGTTTCAGCTTTTACTTCATGTGCCCTTGAGTGGAAGGTGTAGATAAAACATCTGTGTCATATTAATGCGTCAAAAGTCAAAGACACTGCAAATTTTTAAAAATTTAGATGAGATGGTCCCAAAAAATTCATTAATTCTACTCATTGCTATCCTTAGTTTACGGAAAAGTTAGGTTTGGTTAAACTCAGGAAAACTCAGCGAAAATGGTTGGCTGTCTCACCTGCGTGCGTCCGGAGTGGCTCAGACAGGTAAGTGTCAGTGAAGAGCGGCTGAGAAAACTCTCTGTGGTTCTCGTCAAACAGTCGGGTGAAGGCTCGCATGCTTAGCCTGCGCGAGCGGACACACACACACGTACACGGTCAGTAGCTGAGGGGAGGTGTTTCTGTGCTCAGTGGCACTTCAGCAGCATCAGTTTCTCATTACCTGTATGATGTTTTGGCTTTCAGCGGCCCATCACAGAAGGCACCATAGCTGTCACTCAGATAGAGGTCACCGTCATGGTAATGATCACAGGATCCCCCCAGCCGGTCTCCTCCTGCGCCCAGGTTCACCTCCACCACCTGATCAGGTATTGATTGACCACATTAATATATTGACAGATATACACCCAGCACAGTTCTTATTCAGAGGGTGACTGTGATCATTTTTTAAACTTCTTCACTTTTTTAAAAATTATCTTAGAAAATGCAATAAAATTAAATATTTTAATTCTAATGTCTTAAATTTCAATTATGCACATAAACAATAAATAAAAATGTTCTTCATGAACGTCAGAATCTTGAGTTTAATCAGCACCTTTATTATGACTAAAGGTTTGGTTGTTTATGTCAAGTCTACAGAAAACAAATATTTTGTTTGCATTTTCAGAAAAGTTAGAAAAAGATCTATTTCAACATGTAATTTGCAGATTACCTGCCCAGCAGAGCTCTCAGTGTCCTGTGGACAGCGGCTGGGGAAGTAGGCAGTCTGATAGGCTCTGACGGATGAGTTGCTGATGTAGTCGCGGTATGAGGGCAGTGGGTGGCGCTGTTCTGGCTGCAGCATTTCATTGGCTGTCAGAAGAGACAAAAAAAACTTGTCTACCTCCAGTTTGTCTGTCTGGAAATGAATGTAAGTCAAAGTAATGTAAACATGTGTTGATGTGTTTGTACCATCAGACTCGGCCACGATCACGGTGAAGTATCGGATGGCTCCGTTGGTGTCGGTGAACCAGGAGCAGTTAAAGCGAAACAGGATGGAGGATGACTTGATCTTCGATGACCTTTTGGTGACACGTACGCTTTGAGGTGGGACAGGAGGGCCTGACAGGAGAGAGGACTGGTTAAACAAATATAAGTGCCATTTTGACTTTTTATTAAATATATTTTTAGCTCATAATAATTGCAGTAATCATTTTAAAAATTAAGTTGGAATTTTTGTTTATTTTCTCAAGATTTGGACATTTTATCAAGCTCATAAACTATTTTATAACTGTGAAATTATCATATGACATACATAATTATTCATGGCATTTAAAAATATTGTAATATTAATTGCAAAATAAACAGCACATTGAAATGTTTTTTCTGAAAAATCTGAAACAAGAAATGTACAAAAGTTTATAAAAACAAAAATTCTCAAAAGAGAAAAACAATATTATGCTTCCACAATCAGCACAATAGTATCACATGGTGATCATCACTACTAGTATACCACAACACTGTGAAAAGTATATAAAAATATAGTTTTGTTGTTTCTGAAGAAACTGGCTTTTCCAGTTTCCATTTGCTCTTTCTCCCAGTTTCATCCTTAGCTTTCTCTCTTCCTGAACTGCCACCTATAAAAAAAACTTCTGGATTTTCTGCCTTTTTCTGTTTCCAGTGCGCTTGTGTCAGGATGATTTATAATGCAACACAAGCACAAAGAGGGAGGAAGAGATGGACGTGAACTAAGGGGGGACAAAGAGAAGAAAGGAAAAGGTTCTAGCAGAGGAGAAAAGTTTCCAGAGTGTTTGGGGTCATGGTGACTTTTTCAAAAAGAGCAAAGAGAAAAATAAAGTGACACTTCAAAGATTAAGAACCTGTGTGTGTGTCTCCTTCCTTCATTATGAACACACACACACACACACACAAAAGTTCCCTTCTGTTGTTTATTTTTTATTGTAGCAGGAGTTGACTGCACCAGATGTTCAAACTCGGCCTAGTTAGATAGAATCATAGGAAGAAGTGTGCTATTTAGAGGTTTTAGACCCTTAATAAATTAAAGATAACGCCTTTTAGTTCCAATTCAGTGTAAGGTATAGCTACATACATATACAGCAGAAACAAATGGGTTTGACAGCAAACACGGAAAACCAGATGATGTCGAGTCAGATCCTTTCTGTTTCTCTCTGGCACCCATGACAGGATCATGAAGTCATGAAGTTGGCTTATTCAAATAAGAGCTGGGCTTTAGAGTGAGTGAACAATCAATCATAATTTAGTTTGCTTGTAAAATGACAAATGTGACCCTAAACCTGAATGTTATTAGTGAAAAAACTCATGGCGAGTTCCCTAAAATGTGAACCACAGTCTGGGAGTGAATTATGAGTGGACAGCTGACAGGCAGCTGTGCCAAAGTCAGTGATGTAAAAAACTGTCTGCTGGACGCTTTTCTTGGACAAGTAAGGAGAAATCTGTTCACAAGAGCTGCTTTATGTTGCTTTAAGTTAGTCATGGGCTGCTAGTTTGACTCATGGTAACTGCTAATTGAGGTATTTCTAGCTTGTCATGTGATTACTGGTTATTGTTGATGTGTCAATCACAGCAGTAAAGTCAAACATCAGTCACTGAATCCCGCCTTAGCATTCCACCCTCTCCTCCAAATGTGATTGTGTTTGGCTACAGAAACCCAAGATGGCAGTGGACATAAAGCTTAACTACAAGTTAAAAAACGTTTGAGCGTTTTTAAGGAATTAGTTCAGAAAAGTATTGAATAGTCACAAAGTTAATCATGATATTTGAGCATTAATGCCACTGAAACAGGTAAAGAAAACTGACTATGCACCAACTTGGAGTAAAGTCAGTCTTCAGTTCCCTCTTTGTTTCCCAGGTGAGCAGTCCTACTTAAACTGTGGTTTTATTTAAACAACCAAATCCAACACTTTACCTGAGGGGAATATTGGTGTGTGTATGTATGCTTGTCTAGCTATCAATGTGAGGACCAATGAAATTTAATGAAAAGTGAGGACTGTTCTGGGTCAGTCCTCACATGCTTAAAGGGTCTTAGTTCAGGGCTCAGGTCAAAAAGGTTTAGGTCCAGGTTAGGTGCCTGAGACTGCCTTATTTAAATGAAGATCCTTGTAAGCGTGTGTTTAAACTTACGGTCGATCATAGTGACGGTGGTGTGTGTCACTGGCGGGCTCGTCTGTCCGGCTGATGACACTCTGACCGTCACAGAGTATTTCCTGTATGGCTCCAAGTGGTCCAGTGTCACCGCTGTGACACCTCCCACTAGCTTCAATGCTGAGATCAGCTCCCGGTCATCGTAGCGCCGACACTCAACCTCGTAAGAGTCAAAGTCTGCGTGTGGAGGTGACCAGGAGCAAGAGAGGGAGGAAGAGGAGAGAGGGAAGCAGTGGATGGACTTTAGAGAAGATGGACCTAGAAAAGAGGAGGTAAGGACACAAGGAGAGGAAAGAAGTATAGAAAAAATGAAGACAAGATGAGAAGAAAGATGATGAATGAAAAGTGACAAAAGGAGACAAAAAGAACAAGTTCAATAAACTTTCTGTTTCTCACTTTGCTTATTTTCACGTTTGACCTTCATGAGTAAAATAAATTCCTTGTGGTGTTTATTTTTTCAAAACAGAGAGCGACAAGTCTGCTGCTGCTAAAGTCCCCATTTATTTTTCCTGATCAGATGATAAAATCACTCTTTAAGAGATGATGAATGTGCCTGAGGACAAAGACAAAGGCAAAGGACAACACATTTGTCATTTTGTGGCTGGGAGCAGACAGAAGATAGAAAAATAAGATGGAACTTTTGTATTCAAGAGGTGAAAATAAGGGCCTTTGATCTGTAAACATGAGCTAATTATGACACAATTATTGTACTACAAAATTATTTGGATTAAAACTCCTGTGAGTACAACAGATAAATAAATAAAATCAGCACTAATCTGACTGCCCTTTAACAAAGTAAAAATATATAGGTTGCCCCCTGGTGGATAGGTGGAGTATAAGACATGTGCTCCGCCCCCTCTTACATTAGCCAAACCAAATAAGTGAATATTTTGCTGAGATTAATTCATTCTTATTTCATTTGTGCTCATTTCTGCTGACCAGCTTTTGATTGGTTATTTCATGCAGTTTAACGGTTAGTAGTCATTATAACTTAAATCAATATGAATCCATGATTCAGTGAAAGTGTACACAGGTTACATGTAGAGACAACGTCTATCAATGTCCTCCAAGCCTTTTTGAAATGTTAAAAATAATGGCAAATGATTAAAGGTAATAACAAAAGCTTCAAGCTGTTCCGTTATCATCTTTAAACATTTAAAGATGGATTGATACTCTGCTTTTTGGTTGTTTTTGACGAGGTAAAAATATTTTTCGGGCTTTGGGGTGCACTCACCTGGGTCTGTATTCAGTGAAGAATGAATACAACATACCTCTGATAAACAGACATTATTTGCATCCAGTTGTTTTTCAGAGGGACTTTTTGAGCCTTTTCCTTTAAGTCGTCATTACTCTTCTAATGATACACAGGAATCTTTTGGCCATGTACAGATCTTGCTTTTAATTTTGTACTTCCTGTCTGAGTGAGCTCAAAATAAGGGCTTCTCTGTGGGTATCTATAAATGTGTTAAATACTTCATCACTTCGTCTGCTGGAAATTAAAAAAGGAAGCTGTGAAGAAAAACTGGGTCAGATTTATTTAAATATATGTGACCTGGATATTTTTTATTCCTCTCCCTGATGGTTTCAGTCCCTGCAGCCAAAAACCCTCTGGGCAAGCAGGATAGGATTAAAAATGGATTTAACTCCACAGAGAGACTCAAAGTCTCTGTGGTGCTGCCATCAAGTGGAATAAAGTCATAAATGCAGCTGGTTTGTAAAATGCATTTAAAGCTTTGGATCCTCTTCTTGTAAGCTGATAGTATTTTTTAATGTTTGCTCAAATTATCTATAAACATAAATAAAACCATAAAGATTGTCTAATGTGCATTTCTCTTATGCGTCATGATTGACAGCAGTTGCCCCCGGTCAGAGGTTGATTAATCCTGATCTGATTAACAGAAAATGCAAGAAACATGCCAAAATTAATACGCAGAAAATTTTTCCACTAACAGGAAATATTAAGAGAGTAAGGTCAGTATAAATAAGTCTAGTTAAATACTCGCACAGTAGTAATTGATTTATTTTTCTTCCTTTAAGTTCCCCCTACTTGTTCTTATGTTCCTCTGGATTGGCTGGCTCCTGACTGTTGGTCCACCTTTGGCTCCGCCCCCACTGGCAGTCATCAGAGTGAAGTTGTACTCTCGCCCTGGAAACATCCCGCCCACAATGCAGCTGGTCAGATGGGTTTGTGTGACCGTCAGCTGATCAGGAGGAGTCCACTGCAGACTGAAGTTACTGTAGTCTCCTTTGGTGGGAACAGCCCACAACAGCTCTATTGTGTCATTGCTCGGGCCTTGTTTGACAGACAGGTGGGCAGGCGGTTGGGGAGCTGGGGGAAATAAATAATCAAAATCAGTAATCAAAATAATTTGGCATTTAAACTACATCAAAAAAATGTGCTTGTGTGTATTTTCATTTCACTCACAGGTGCGCCCAAATGCTGAAACATTATTGGTCAAATCTCCACTGTGCGTGATGACCTCAGCACGGTACAGTCTACCAGGGACCAGCGCAGTGAAGGTGTGACTTGTGTGCTCCGCACCAAGAGTCTGGGCTCCCAGGGTGGATCCAGAAACATCGTACAACACCACCTTACGTAACAGGGAAACAAACAAATCAGCATGAGATTCTAATTGAGAACTCCACTGAGATTTTTTCTGTTTTAAAATTGGAGAGTCACGGGGAGGAATTTAATTCTAAACCATAAAGACCGAACTCTGCAAAACATGGATAGTGGGATTTATTTTTTTGTGGACTGAAGGAGGAGGTCATGTTTGCAACAGTTTAACTGCAGATATCACAGAGATACATTTACCTCATAACTGCTAAAGCTTCCCTCTCCATGCTGCCAGCTGACTCCCAGTCTGTCCGTCCATCCTGAACTCTCGACCTGTAGAGACGAGACTGGAGATGGGACTGCAGAGCAGAGGGGGGACAAAAAGGAAGAAAATTTTAAGAAAATAGAAAGGAAAGATGGAAGAGGAGAAACTATCTGACTAAATGCCGAGAACGTGGAAAAAATATCTTGAAGGTGAGAAAAGATGAGGACAGAATGAAATGAAGGCTAAGCGATGGCTGTGATGTTTGTATCCATACAACAGCACTGACTGACCGGTTCTGGCCAGCACAGATGATTCGCTGCTCATGTCTCTGCTCCAGCTCACCACCTGCAGCTTGTACAGACTTCCTGCTCTCAGCCCAGAGAACACACAGCTGTCTGCAGCCGAGCCCACCTTCTGCAGGTCCACCTGTTCACCTGCATTCTGAAGAACACACAACGCACATTAACACAATGATAGTTAGCATGAACTTAGCTTAGAAACTTAGCTTAGCATGAACATCAGGAAACATGTGAATGTTGATCCCACCGTGTGATGATCCCTCCTGCTCCCAGGAGAGCCCTGCCTGTGATTGGTGGTCCCCTCAGAGATGCTGTACAGGGTCAGGTCATAGATGTCGACATGGCCATCGGACGGACGCCAAGAGAAGGAGAGAGAGGAGGTGTTGGCTGAAATGACCAATAGATTACTGACGGCAGCGGGACCTGAAGAAGAAAGGATTTGCCTTGGGTCAAAGTGTGCATTTACAGGAGGTTCTTTCAGGAGGTTCTTTAGTGAAAATACTTCTTTTAACATGGGAGTCTATGGGGCCTGAATGACTGCTGGAGCCTCTAGTGGATGTCACAGGAACTGCAGGGTTTCAACAGTTTAAAAAAAAATGTAGCAGAAGAGTCATAGTTGTATCATAACGTGTTTTATACCTCATTACCGATCAGTCCTCTTAGTAAAAACGTCTAAATTGTGACTTACGTGTTTGCCCCTCTGCGCTTGCCTCCAGTGACGGCACGCCACCACTCAGCGTTACGACCCTCACGCGATACAACTTCCCTGACGTCAGACCTTCCAGAAGCTCGGTTCGACTCTCCGCTGCGACCGTTCTATTGATCACCACGATGCCGGCCTCGTCCAGCAGCTGCAGGCTGTAGCTGTCATATGCGCCCACTGGCCGCTCCCAGCTGACGGTGAGGCTGTGGGTGGTGTGATCATTATCAGCCTGGAGGGCTGTGACTCTGGCTGGAGCTGTGGTGAAGGAGAGAATTTACCTATGTTCAGTCTGCACTGATCTAAATGACAAAACTCATCTGTCAGGTGCCTTACCTGTCCTGCCTGTGGCTGTGTTGCTATTGCTTAGCTTCCCACTCATCGATTGGACAGTGATGGTGTAAAGGTGACCTGGGGTCAGCTCTAAAAAGTCCAGGGTGGTGACATGTTTGGGAACAGGACGAGTGTCGATAGTGACTCCGTCCTAAAGACAGAAAGTTGAGAGAGAAGTCTTAAGTCGTCTGTTACTGTATACAGTCTGAACATCACTGTATACAGTGACAGTCATCAGTCGACCCAATGCGTACATGAGCTGCTCGTGTTGGTGTGGAACTGAAAGTACACACATTTTTAGATGTCTTTAATTTTTAATACCTTTAATTTAAATTATGAGTTCATATGACTGCTGAATGTTTTGAGCTCAAACTAGGGTGTACTCATGCTGGGAATGTTTGCCTCGTACTGTCCTTTGGCACAATTATCCCTACACCCAGGCCCATGTTTGTTATTAAAGCAATTTTTACAGTAGAATGTTGATTTGCTGTCTGAATTATATACCACACCCCTAACTGTTATCTGGTGCTTTGTTGTGTTTTTTTATACAAATAAAAACATTTCCATTATATTATACTTATACAGAACAGGTACAAAATCACACTGAACCTATTATTCCATCCAACTGTATACATTTCAAACTAATATGTTTATGATAAGTGTGAAACTTGCAGTGTTTCATATCAGATGCATTTTTATGAATTGCAGTTGAAGTTGGAAGCAAAAAAGGGGTTAAACAAATCATGTGGTGAGGTGTCTTTGGTATTAACTTACCACGGTCAACAGGGACACAATGTACATGTCCAGGTCTCCTTCGCCAGGCAACCAGGAAGCCAAAAGTCCAGCAACAGAGTCAGTCAGACCAGGTTGTGGAACAAGGTGGAGGTTTCCTACAGCTCTGGGAACTGAAGACGAGATGGATTTACTAAACTTCAACCCAAGATGCTTGCAGTGAAGCTGTGAACATATACTCTGCATTTCTAACCTGTTCGCCCCTCAATAAACTCTGCTCTCTGATATGATCCACTGAATGTCGCCACCACAATCTTATAAAGCCGCCCAGGCGTCAAAGAGGTCAGCCGGTGTTGTCGCACCTCACCACCCAGCGTGACCGGAGGGAATACTCGAGAATCGTTGAAGAGCAGAGTGACCTGGAGGTACAGGGGGTGGTGCAGTGAGATGAGTTCATCCTCTGGGAAACAGGGGTTGAATTCATGTTTGATGATACATTTTAACATTGTTAAATCATATCAGTGGGAAAATGCACTCAGAATACCTCACTTACTCCACAACTTTTATAATAATTTCTTTTAACCATAACCCTATTATGTGGGGCGATCGTGACTCAAGGGTTGGGAGTTTGCCTTGTAATCGGAAGGTTGCTGGTTTGAGCCCCGGCTTGGACAGTCTCGGTAGTTGTGTCCTTGGGCAAGACACTTCACCCGTTGCCTACTGGTGGTGGTCAGAGGGCCCGGTAGCGCCAGTGTCCGGCAGCCTCGCCTCTGTCAGTGCGCCCCAGGGTGGCTGTGGCTACAATGTAGCTTGCCATCACCAGTGTGTGAATGTGTGTGTGAATGGGTGGATGACTGGATATGTAAAGCGCTTTGGGGTCCTTAGGGACTAGTAAAGTGCTATATAAATACAGGCCATTTAAACATGCTTAAAGTACCTGTTTACACTATCACTCGATCATATTTTTAAATTCCCTCAGTAATATCCAAATTACAACACATTATAGCTGGTACTGATTATTTAGACCGGTGCTTTCAGATTGGACTAAAAAATGTTCAGGTGTTTGTCTATGAATTACTAAATATTTTTTAAACAAAGTTTTGTGAAGCACACCTCATAGTAATCCACGTCTCCAGGGGCGGGACTCCAGGTCACGTTCAACTTGTTGGTTCCTGCATTGCTGAGTAACAGATTCTGAACAGCTGCAGGAACTAAAATACAAAATTCATCCCAATCAGGAGAAATAACCCACACAAAAAGAACTTTTCTGTAATAATACCATGTTAGGTCATTTTTCCCGTTATCTCTCACTCACAGGTGCGTCCATCTGTGGAGATGCTGCTGACATAGTCTCCACTCCAGGTTTCCACAGTGACAGTGTAGAGTCTACCCGATGTCAGAGATGAGAAGATGCACTCGTTGTGTCCTGCTGAGACACTCTTATTCTGCAGCACCGTGTGATTGTAACGGATCAGAACCACGTAACGGTCGAGAACCCCAGCCGCTTGGCGCCAGTACACCTGAAAGTATGACACAATATGATCACATAGTAATATATAAAAATTTAAAGAATCAATCAATCAGCTTTATGACTATCTGTCGGTTTTAGCTTTACTCTTATTTGTACGTTTGATAACTCCTTCACCCAAGTTAACTAAACCTGGTTATGGCGAGACCAGGTGCTCTAGTTCAAAGCTGATGGTGGTCGTTCCTCAGGGCTTGGTAGTATGCTCATTTTTATTTTTAATACATATGTGCTCAGGCATGTTAGAGTAGTGCACATCATCAGTGTTATGTAGATGACACCCACATCTATTACAGCTGTAATCCCGACACGAATAAAGTGTGCCACCTGTTTTGCAGACAACAGCCACTCCTGTTTTAGCTGTAACAGTTTGTGTAATGGGTGCTAATTTGTTTTAAGGTTGGTAAGGTGGTTTTAAGCCACCTAGAAATATTTCTTTTGATGATTATTCAGCCTTAAAACAGATAACCCCCACATTTATTTTAGCTGTGACTCTTTTGTTATGTGTAAGATTAAAGTGTCTTAAAAACATGAAACATTTAATTAAAAATATATAGTTTATACAGAATTCCCAACACATTATTTGAGAGATCAAAAGGTAATTTAAAGTAGTGAGAAATTTCCTTTTAATCTACTTTTGTGTCTTGTCAAAAAAAAAAAATGACACTTTTGCGCCTTAATTCCTCTTAACAAATCCATAATTTAGTCTCTCAGAGCCTGAAGTCGCAACATAGGTTCAGAAGTAAAATCGTTTTTGGACTATCAAAAAAAAAAAAACCCAAACATTCAAATATCCCTGAAAGTTGTCTTTTTCTGAGATGTAGACCACTTAGGTTATCATTTCACTAAGAGACCTTTAAAAAAACAAATAAAACAAGTAAAAAACTGCAACAGTAACACCACATGAAATTAAATGTTATTCTTGTTACACAGATATACCTTGAGGAAGTTGTCTCTTCCAGAGTGAACAGCTATTGGATTTTGCACAGTGGCTGGTTCTGCAAAATGGAACAAAAGACAAAGCAACAGAGATGTTTTAACTTAAGTACAAACAAAACTGGTAGATGGTAAAATAAATATAAACTCAGACAAATATAAGACTTTAAAAGGACTGGATTCTTACGTGTTCGAGCTAGGACGGTGGCGGCAGTCTCCAGGTCGCCACTCCTTGTTTTTATGACCACCGAATAAAGCCGGCCAGCCTCCAGCGACCTGAATGAGCACTCAGGTGGTGAGGAGTGGGACACAACAAATTTGTGTTTAGAAATTCCTTTCCTCTCCTCAAGGCAGACCAGGTAGCTGTCCACGACTCCTGACACAGGACGCCACGACACCTGCAGAGCATCGGACTTGCCGCCATTTGAAACAGTTATCTCAGAGACAGGCTCCGGGGCTGAAAATAAAAATATCATTGTATTGTTTTTACTACAGTGTTAAATATTTGTAATATAGAGAATAAAATGAATGTATCTCTTAAAAAAAAAGTGCATAAATTGTAAATTCAAAAAAACATAAATAACCTTTATCCCCTTTGTTTCTCAAACTTTTCTTAAAAACAAACAATGAAAATTGCGTATGCCATTGCAGATACAGCAGTGATGCCACTTACTGACCAATAGAAGGTTATTTGAGGGGATTGAGGGTGGAGTCAGGTTTTGTTTTTCTACAGTCTAAATACTGATTCGTTAGCAGGAGAACAATACAGACATTCACATCCAGAGTATCCTGAAAGTATCTGGAACATTCTATGGGAACACATTACAGTAAGTGCTCTGAACAGGAAGTGTGTGTTTGCTTGTATAAGTGTTTATGTGAGATGTAATATGAGTCCTAGACTTTCTGAGGACATTTAGAGACCAAATAATGCCAAATTTTGTCTTCACATTTAAACAGACCTTCAAAGGGTCACTGCTGAGTCCAGACTTAGTTATGGCTCAGATTGAATTTTAGGTTTTGGCAGAAGGTAATG